ACGTCTGCGTCGGCAACGTACACGTGTGTACGTCTGGACCACACGTGCAGACCCGAGGGACACAATGCGTACCTCTCGCATTTGTACCTCTCCTCGTACGTTTCTACTTTGCCGTGTAGGGACGAGGGAGAACGAACCCATCGTTCCCGAACTGCGAGATCGGTGATCCGTGGAAGATGCTGCCCTTTCCTCTGCCACGAACTTTCCTGCAAATTTTGCTCATCGCTACCCGGAGGATCGTCGTCGTCGGACCCATCCACGGTCGTCCGATGGCTTTCCCGCGGGGAATCTCCAACGGATCGACCGAGCGACTCCGGTGACCGAGCGGTTCCGGCTTCCGAGTGACACCCGGATCGAGAGATCGAGTCCAGGTGGCGGCGGGCGCTCGGACGATCCTAGCGTCTGTTTAGCGTGGGATGACGCACACCCCACTCTGCGTGCCGCGCATGGGAGATACGAGTGCAGTACGCCTCAAAAACGACTCGTGCCGGTGGTGGACTCGTCCACGGACGGTCCAGTCGTCCAGAGACGGGTACGAGTCCGGAAGCGGTCGTCCCACGGACGTACGTCGCCACGGATCGATATCTTCTCGTGCGATCCGAGCGAAATTTGCCTGCATCGAACGCTTCATTTTTTCCATTTCATCGAATGATGGTTTTTTGGAACGCCGTTACGAGCATCCGATCGTGGGATTTCTATAGTTAGACTTTTTTTTCTTCTTCGAATCTCTCATCCGAGGTCGAAATCCAGTAACTCGCTCGTCGTATAGACGATGCGACGTCGCGAATCGACCCCGGTGCACGATTTCGTCTCGAGTTCGACACCACGAACGAAAGGATGCGTCGGTCCGTCTTCGGACATCCGTCGAACGATCGGCAGAGGAACTTCCGAGACGTCCTCCGAGGACGTCGACCCGCGGACGTCCTCGGATGGAGTCGTGGAGTCCCCGCCCCGTCGAGGCCTGACATCCAGCAGTTCGTTCGACGAACGTGAAGTTCCCGTAATTTAAGCGAGGCGGCAACGAACCCGCTTCCGCACGTCTTCCGATTTCCTTCGTGCCGACGAATCGTTTTGCGGAAGCTCTCGTTCTCCGCTCGACGACTTCCCGCGTACGAGTCGAAGGGAGGAAGGAAGGAAGATCCGATCGGTTCGTTCGTCGCGGGACGTAACAGAGCTCGAGAAGATTCCTGGCAATTCTTGCACGTTGCACGGAGAGAGAGCGGTTCCTCTCGCCGAGGAAGTCGATTCCGTCTTCTCGCGGATCCCGACGCCTTCGGCAACGGGAAACGGTCTCTCGATTCGAAGGATGCGAATGGGAAACATCTCGGTGATACCTCACTTCTCGTCCGAACGCTTCTCTTCGATTTCTTTCCAGGAACGCGAGGGGACGGAATCGTAGCGATCTCAAAATGTTCCTCTCCCGTGTCGCGTATATCGATCGGCGTGCAGATTTTGCTCCATTCCGACCCGGGGATGGGGTTTGCTATTGCCATTGCTGCATCCCTCGAAGGTCGTCCGATGGCTTCCGAGCGGGGAATCTCCAGCGGATCCAAAAGAACGGACATCCGATGGACGACGCGTCCGAGGATCGTCCGAGGACGAGACGTTCGGTCGTCCGGTGGACGTCCGAGGAGGATACACCGTACATTGGACGTCCGAGCGTCACGAGGGTACGTCCGATGGATCTATTTTAGATCAAAATTACCACTCGGGTCGACGAACGGACCGTCCGCGGGCGAATTCGTCATCGTCCGTGGCTTCTTGGGTCGGTTCGCGCTCCTGTCGTCGATCGATCGGGCGACGAAATTCTCACGGACACGGACGAGCGTGTCGGTACTTCGGCACGAGACGAATCGCATCGTTTCGGGTGATTTCGCGGTCGACCGTGGCGTCGTCCGAACGGGCGAGGATCGTTCGCTCCGTCCGGACGACGACGACTCGATCGCGCGTCTGCGGAGCCGTAGCGGGTTTCGCAGGGATCGGCGCCGAGACGCCGTGAGATTCTCGAGAACGGACCTCTCTTCGAAACGCGAACGAGATCGACGAGCGTAGAGACGCGAACGTCCTCTTTCGCGTTCGCACCTTTTCGAAGCCGACGACGCGAAGAGCGAGAGTCGAAATCGGTCTAAACGCTCGCGGCTCGACTTCGCCCGGAGCGAACCGACTCGTTTTTCTTTTCGACGCGGAAAGCGTTTCCGTCGAGAACGACGCGAGAGGAGAGAGGCGTACCTGGGAAATACTCGTAGGGTTCCTGAACGCAGGAATCGGGAAGCGAGGTGGCATCCAGGACTCCGTGCCAGGGATCGACGGGAACGGGCTTCCGGAATCGGAGATCCCCGACGGGAGGTTTCGCAAAGGGTATGCCGGTGAAGACGTGGACGGTACGGCCGAGGACGTCCTTCCGATACCCGCGGAGGACACCCGTCTTCGTATCCACGAGGAGGTCATCCTCGACGGGTTTCCCTCCCGCTCTCCACACCAGGGCAAACACGACGATCCACATCCCCATTTTTCCCCATCTCATCTCGTTCTTCCCATGCTTCCTGTAAACACCGACGGATCGCTCTGTTTCCTCTCCACGGATGCCACGCGACGGGTGGAATCGTCGGAACGGATGCAATCTCGACCTTTTCGCTACGTCTCGACTTTCTCTCTTTTTCCGAGAACTCCGCTTCGTTTTTTTTTTGTTTACGTCGTACGCGACACGACGACGAATGCGTCGGGAGAACGAAAGCCACCGACGTGGGAGCCACAGACGAGCGGTGTCGAGGGTTTTCACCTACCATCGGCGTTTCGCATCTTTGCGAAACGGCCAGGGTGGATCCTCCTCGAAGCGGATCGTACCGAGCCGACTCGATTCCGAGCCCGTGCACGAGGAAGGGAAAGCTTTCTTTACGGATGAGACGAGCGGAGTCGAGCGGGGTCGGGCGGGGTCGAGCGGGATCGAGCATTCCCCCTCGAGTTCGGTTCGGTACGCTTCCTCTTTCACGCTCCCTCCTTTCGATCCGCGATCATCTCGAAAGATTTATCATCATCGTTCGACTTAATCCTACCCTTCCCGAAGATCGAGCTCTGGCTCGGTGTTGCACGGTCGCATGGCGTCTCCTCGCCCCTCTTGGGGAAAGAGGGGCTCGCTCCGACGGAAAGCGTTTCTCAAAGATCCATCGACCTCGCGCACCGGCAAATCGGCGCCTCGCCAACGTGCGCGGGAGACGAAGTTTAGGAAAGCGCATCCTCGCGACGTCGCGGAGGGGAGTGGGCTCATTTTTTCCAACGCAAGCCCCGTCGTGGGGAAAGGGAGACCCCTAAGCGATGGGTACTTCCGTCTCGAGACGTGGGAGATTCGAAGAACCCGAGTCGTGCGGGCCGAACTCGTACGATCGCTTGGGAAGAATCGCTCGGTCGCTCGGTGCTCGGCCGTCGGTCGAGCCGAGAGGACGGTGGGGAGAGTGAGAGGAATTCCAGAGCGACGACGAACGCCTCGCTTTCGACGGATGTTGCCCGGCCTTGCAAGTCTTCCTCGGCGAGAGCAAGATCCAAATTCCAGCCGGGACCGTCACGGTTTCTCTTCCGGAACGATCAGTCGCAGGACCGAAACTACTTTTGCCGCACCTCGTTTGATTTTTTTCTTCTTAAAAAATTCGTGTTCACGCGGATGGACGGTTGGGGTGAAGAAGTTCATACGTACTCGTATGCTCGAGGGATCTTTCTAAGAAAGGAGGAAGGTTTGATTCCGTCGACGTGTTTATTCGAAGATTTTCAGTTCCCTGTCACCCGATGAATACTTTTTTCTGCCTGGAAATTTGGACCTACCCGTCGGTGCGAGCTCCATCGAGAATACGTTTTCGTTTTCTTTGCCGACGTCACCGGGATGCGCACACGAGGGACCCTCGGGGACGCCTTCGGCCCGCTCTCTCCGGCGGTCGAAGCAGGACGTCACCCGTCTCCCTCTTCGCTATTCTCGTGCACTCGACCTTTCTTCGCGCTCTGCTTGCCTACCCGACTCCCATATCCCATTCTCTCTCGTGTAGCCTACGCATCGCAATTTTTTCCACGTGTAGCCTGTTCTTTCTCGTCGATTGGAATTCCCTGGAAGATGCAAGAATTCCGGAGGCCGAATTCTCGGAACACCGTGGGAACGGTATCCGTCTAGGACAGGGGTGTCAAACTCAAATCGGTCGGCGGGCCGCATTCCTTACCCTGCA